TGGCAAAAAGCTTGCAGCCTTCCCGTTGAGATCAGGAACACGACAAGGATGCCCACTATCACCACTCTTGTTCAACATAGTATTAGAAGTCCTAGCAACAGCAATCAGACAACAAAGAGAAATAAAATGTATCCAAATTGGCATGGAAGAAGTCAAACTCTCTCTCTTCGCAGATGACATGATTCTTTATATGGAAAACCCAAAAGACTCCACCCCAAAACTACTAGAACTCATACAATAATTCAGCAACATGGCAGGATACAAAGTCAACATACAGAAATCAGTGGCTTTCTTATACACTAACAATGAAAATACAAAAACGGAAATTAGAGAATCGATTTCATTTACTATAGTACCAAGAACCAAAAGATAACTGGGAATAAACCTAACGAAAGAGGTAAAGGAACTGTACTCGAGGAACTACAGAACACTCATGAAAGAAATTGAAGAAGACACAAAAAGATGGAAGACCATTCCATGCTCTTGGATCGGAAGAATAAACATTGTTAAAATGTCTATACTGCCTAGAGCAATCTATACTTTCAATGCCATTCTGATCAAAATTCCACCAGTATTCTTCAAAGAGCTGGAGCAAATAATCCAAAGATTTGTATGGAATCAGAAGAGACCCCGAATCGCTAAGGAAATGTTGAAAAACAAAAATAAAACTGGGGCCATCACGATAGCTGATTTCAAGCTTTACTACAAATTGTGATCACCAAGACAGCGTGGTACTGGCATAAAAACAGACACATAGACCAGTGGAACAGAGGAGAGAGCGCAGATATGGACCCTCAACTCTATGGGCAAATAACCTCGACAAAACAAGAAAAAATATACAGTGGAAAAAAGACAGTCTCTTCAATAAATGGTGCTGGGAAAACTGGGCAGCTATATGTAGAAGAATGAAACTCGACCATTCTCTTACACCATACACAAAGATAAACTCAAAATGGATAAAAGACCTCAACGTGAGACAGGAATCCATCAGAATCCTAGAGGAGAACATAGGCAGCAATCTCTTTGATATCAGCCACAGCAACTTCTTTCAAGATATGTCTCCAAAGGCAAAGGAAACAAAAGCAAAAATGGACTTTTGGGACTTCATCAAAATCAAAACCTTCTGCATAGTAAAGGAAACAGTCAACCAAAGAGGCAACTCACGGAATGGGAGAAGATATTTGCAAATGACAGGACAGACAAAAGGTTGATATCCAGGATCTATAAAGAACTCCTCAAACTCAACACACACAAAACAGACAATCATATCAAAAAAATGGACAGAAGATCTGAACAGACACTTCTCCAGTGAAGACATACAAACGGCTATCAGACACATGAAAAAATGTTCATCATCACTAGCCATCAGGGAGATTCAAATTAAAACCACATTGAGATACCACCTTACACCAGTTAGAATGGCCAAAATTAGCAAGACAGGAAACAACACGTGTTGGAGGGGATGTGGAGAAAGGGGAACCCTCTTACGCTGTTGGTGGGAATGCAAGTTGGTGCAGCCACTTTGGAGAACAGTGTGGAGATTCCTCAAGAAATTAAAAAGAGAGCTTCCCTATGACCCTGCCATTGCACTACTGGGTATTTACCCCAAAGATACAGATATAGTGAAAAGAAGGGCCATCTGTACCCCAATGTTTACAGCAGCAGTGGCCACGGTCGCCAAACTGTGGAAAGAACCAAGATGCCCTTCAACGGACGAATGGATAAGGAAGATGTGGTCCATATACACTATGGAGTTCTCCTTTTTGGTAGGGTCTTTGCCTGGTTTGGGGATCAGGGTAATGCTGGCTTCATAGAAAGAGTCTGGAAGTTTTCCTTCTGCTTCAATTTTTTGAAACAGCTTCAGGAGAATAGGTGTTATTTCTTCTTTGAAAGTTTGGTAGAATTCCCCAGGGAATCCGTCAGGTCCTGGGCTCTTGTTTTTTGGGAGTTGTTTGATCACTGCTTCAATCTCGTTATTAGATATTGGTCTATTTAGGTTGTCGATTTCTTCCTGGTTCAATTTTGGGAGTTTACAGTTTTCCAGGAATGCATCCATTTCATCTAGGTTGCTTAGCTTATTGGAATATAACTGTTGATAATAACTTCTGATGATTGTTTCTACTTCCTTGGTGTTAGTTGTGATCTCTCCCTTTTCATTCATAATTTTATGAATTTGGGCTTTCTCTCTTTTCTTTTGGATTAGTGTGGCCAATGGTTTATCGATCTTATTGATTCTTTCAAAAAACCAGCTTCTAGTTTCATTGATACGTTCTACTGTATCTCTGGTTTCTACCTCATTGATCTCAGCTTTAATCTTGATTATTTCCCTTCTTATTGTGGAGTTGGTTTGATTTGTTGTTGATTCTCTAGTTCTTTAAGGTGTAGAGATAGCTGCTGTGTTCTGGATTTTTCAATTTTTTTGATGGAGGCTTGATGGCTATGTATTTCCCCCTTAGGACCGCCTTTGCTGTATCCCATAGGTTTTGGACTGAAGTGTCTTCATTCTCATTGGTTTCCATGAATTGTTTCAGTTCTTCTTTGATCTCCTGGTTGATCCAAGCATTCTTAAGCAAGGTGGTCTTTAGCTTCCAGGTGTTTGAGTTCCTTCTGAACTTCTCCTTGTGATTGAGCTCCAGTTTCAAAGCATTGTGATCTGAGAATATGCAGGGAATAATCTCAGTCTTTTGGTATCGGTTGAGTCCTGATTTGTGACCCAGTATGTGGTCTATTCTTGAGAAGGTTCCGTGTGCACTTGAGAAGAATGAGTATTCTGTTGTTTTAGGGTGGAATGTTCTGTATATATCTATGAAGTCCATCTGGTCCAATGTGTCATTCAATGCTCTTGTTTCTTTATTGATTTTCTGCTTCGATGATCTGTCTATTTCTGAGAGAGGCGTGTAAAGATCTCCTACTATTAATGTATTCCTATCAATATGACTCTTTATCTTGATTAACAGTTTTCTTATGTAATTGGCTGCTCCCATATTGGGGCATAGATATTTACAATTGTTAGATCATCTTGGTGGATAGTCCCTTTAAGAATGATATAGTGTCCTTCTTATCTCTGAGTACAGTCTTTAGTTTAATGTCTAATTTATCTGATATGAGAATCACTACCCCAGCCTTCTTTTGAGGCCCATTGGCATGAAAGATGCTTCTATGCCTCCATCAGAAAGGATGAATACCCAACTTTTGTAGCAACGTGGACGGGATTGGAAGAGATTATGCTGAGTGAAATAAGTCAAGCAGAGAGAGTCAATTATCATATGGTTTCACTTATTTGTGGATCATAACAAATAGCATGGAGGACAAGGGGAGTTAGGGGGGAGAAGGGAGTTGAGGGAATTTGGAAGGGGAGGTGAACCATGAGAGACTATGGACTCTGAAAAACATACTGAGGGTTTTGAAGGGGTGGGGGGTGGAAGTTGGGGGAACCAGGTGGTGGATATTGGAGAAGGCATGGACTGCATGGAGCACTGGTTGTGGTGCAAAAATAATGAATACTGTTACACTGAAAATAAATTAAAAAATTTTAAAAAAACCACATTGAGATACCACCTTGCATTAGTTAGAATGGCCAAAATTAACAAGACAGTAAATAACAAGTGTTGGATAGGAAATGGAGAATGAGGAACTCTCTTACACTGTTGGTGGGAATGCAAGTTGGTGCAGCCACTTTGGAAAACAGCGTAGATATTCCTTAAGAAATTAAAAATGGAGATACCCTATGACCCTGCCATTACACTACTGGGTATTTACCCCAAAGATACAGATGTAGTGAAAAGAAGGGCCATATGTACTCCAATGTTCACAGCAGTAATGGCCACATTCACCAAACTGTGCAAAGAGCCAAGATGCCCTTCAACAGATGAATGGATAAAAAAGATATGGTCCATATATACAATGGAATATTGCACTTCCATCAGAAAGGATGAATACCCAACTTTTGCATCAACATGGATGGGACTGGAGGAGTTTATGCTGAGTGAAATAAGTCAAGCAGAGAGAGTCAATTATAATATAGTTTCACTTACTGGTGGAGCATAAGGAATAACATGGAGGACATTAGGAGAAGGAAAGGAGAAGTGAATTAGGGGAAATTGGAGGGGGAGATGAAGCATGAAAGACTGCAGACTCAGAAACAAACTCTGGTTTTGGAGAGGAGAGGGATGGGGGGATAGGTGAGTCTGGTGATGGGTATTAAGGAGAACATGTACTGCGTGGAGCACTGGGTGTGGTGCATAAGCAATGAATCTTGGAACACTGAAAAAATAAAATTTAAAAAGAAGGTATCTTTGAATATATCTTCAATTCTTTAGGAAATACACTATTCAAAAGAGGAATAAAGACTATTTTGCAAGGAGATGAGAAAATACACTTTGTTAGCCTCCTTTTACTTTCAGGATTCTCAGGAATGTATCTGTTGATTCCATGGAGATAATTTGTCCTGACTCGCATTTATATTTTCTTTATTTCATTGTTCTGTTTACAATTGTATCAGATTTCTGAATTTTTCTCCTTTAAGATATCCGGTAATTATGTCTGATTGTTGTGTTTAGTCTGAATTAAGCAGAAGTGACAAGGTAACCTGTACCAGAAGTTTGGCAAATTGAAAATGCTTGGAGTTTTTGTTGTTGTTGTTGCTATAGTTGTTGTTGTTTGTTTGTTTTATGGAATTCTTATTCAGAATCTTATTGCATGTAAAGAAAGTATCCCTTAACAATGGTACAGACAATGCAGCTTGAGTAAAAATTAGCTGATTCTAATTAAAAAAAAATGGGGCATTTGAGTGGCTCAGGTCATACTCCCAGGGTCCTGGCATAGAGTCCGGGGTGGAGCCCAGCATCAGGCTCCATACTCAGTGGGAAGCCTGCTTCTCCCTCTCACTCCCCCTGCTTGTGTTCCCTCTTTCGCTGTGTCTCTTTCTGTCAAATAAATGAATAAAATCTTTTTTAAAAATATATTAACAAATAAGTTAAAAGGAACTTTTTTTTTAACAGAGTGAAGAGACATTTATTCAAAGTCCAGCAGACTGCCCAACTGCCCTTTACAGTGCAAACAGGAAGAAAGAGCCTACAGAAAAGGTAGGACGTGTAAAATTGCTTTACTTTGGTTGTCTCTGCATTACAAGCTATTAGGGTAGGCAGTGGAATGGACCGTGCTCCCCATCACGATAGTGACCCTGTAATTTTGGTTACCAGAACACACACTTGTGTCACCTTCATAAAAAACCGTGTTTGTTGCCCCCTAGTTTTACATTTAAAAATTGTAAACATTTACACCCCGTTCCACTCCAACATGGAAACTTGAGGATCCAGGCCTAACGGAGGCACTTGCCAACACAGGGTCTGCTCACAGGCAGGCACCTTGGGCCCATGAGTGTAGAACAATGTACAGGAGAGAGTTAAGAATCAAGAGCCGCTGTCCCACCTCTGGGCCCCATCATTAGAAGCAAACTCACATCTGTGAGTCTTAACTAGGTCATAGGGGGAAGGGTTGTTCTTTGCAGTAAGCCTTTCCCAGACCACATTTCCACAAGTCAAGGTCTCAGAAAACTTTAATATTGTTATTATGATTCATGTAAGGAACAGATGCTATTGTAAATACAGAGAAGAGGTACAAACTAGACCTAAAAGATTAATGGAAAGCTTCACAAATGTGGAGGAACTTGAACTGGGTTAGGAATATAGAGCCCTGGGCAGAGAAGATGGTGAAGGGTTCATGTAATATAATGATGTAGGGGAAGGAAATTTTTCTCTTATTTCCTTCCTTCAAGCTACTGAGCTAATGAGAAGGCAGTAGGGGTCTGGGGCTTCAAAGGGGGGTAAGACAATTCACAGGAAGATGAGAAGAAAAAATGGTTGATAAATATTTGTCATGCTACGCAGATAAGTCTTTCTGTTATAAAAAGTTATTTCTGATAGGGGCACCTGGGTGGCTCAGTGGGTTAAGCCTCTGCCTTCGGCTAGGTCATGGTGTCAGGGTCCTGAGATTGGGCCCCACATCGGCCTCTCTGCTAGATGGCAAACCTGCTTCCCCCGTTCTCTCTCTGCATGCCTCTCTTCCTACTTGTGATCCCTTTCTCTGTCAAATAAATAAAGCATTTTTTTTAAAAAAAAAGTTATTTCTGATAATAGCTCTCTTCCTGATAAAAGTCCCTGATTTAATTTTTTAAAGCAGTTTAGAAACAGGTAAAAAGCTTTTCCTTAAGCCTACTGGGTCTTAATTGCCTTCAACTCAAGACAGTCCCCAAGCCAAAGTGGCACATTTTGGGGTGGTATATTCTGTTCCGCTTCAGTCCTGCCTTTGAAACTTCTCCAAGAAGTTTCACAGTCCAGAAGTTGAGTTGGTAGATTGCTCCATTTCACCTCATTATACTGCTAGGAAGCCTGTAAACAAGGTACTAGGCCAATTTTTATGGGTTCCATAAAGTCAGCCTTAGTTCCTTAGATCTGTGTGGACATAATGGAGTCTATTACATATCTGAGGATTACATCACTCTCACAAATGACACTCCAAGCAAAGCCTTGGTAATATAACCAATGTTTCCAATTGTTTCCCGTTACAAGGAGAATAGATTCTTTTTTTAAATTAAGTTTTAAATTTTAAGTCCAGTGTAGTTTATACACAGTGGTATATTAGTTTCAAGTGTGCAATATAGTGATTCAACAGTTGTATACATTACTCAGTGCTCATCATGGTAAGGGTATTCTTTAATCCCCATCTCTAACTTCACCATCCCCCATCACCTCCCCTCTGATAACCAGCAGTTTGAGAACAGATTCGTACTGAACTTATGCATAACTGTATTGCCATGAAATGAGAATATTTAAGAGTATACTTAAGACTATGTGAGAAATTCTGAATTCTGAAGGTATCAGGAAAGGAGAAAAAGATAAGTGTTTTACTTTTGTTCACAAAGGTGCATTTTACTAAATTGCTGATAGCTTAGAAAAGAGAAAAGGTTTCCTTAAATCTGGAAAAACAAAACACAAAGAACCAAAATTTCTAATTTTTAAAAAACCATGAAAATTATAACAATCTTCATCAGTTCATTCAGTTCCAAGTAATTAATTCTTACTGATCTTCATCTTTTTTGTTAGTAGTTTCATAAGCCCTTAGTTTCTCTACTAGAGTTCTACAAATTCTCACCGAGTTCAGTGGTATGATCTGAAAGGTTTCAAAGACCTGTAGTTGTTAGAGTCCTTTCCATTAGTCTCTTTGAAGATGAAGCACTTTTACAGGAGCAATTCTGCAAAGCATTAGAATTAAACAATAAATATCTATAAAGGACAAAAGACTTAAGAATGCCTATGGTTAAAGATGACACACACCTTAAGATGATAACTAGGGAAAGAAGATAGAAAAGCTGGACAAATGGAATTCTGAGTTCATCTCCTCCTACAGACACACCAAGGCAACAACTATAGTATTGCAACTCACTCTGAAAATGACCCAAAGACTGGCAGAACAGATATTACACAGCTAGGCACAGAGAGAAGACCACATCAAAAACAAAGAGAGGGATAGAGATGCAATCAGGAACCAAACTCCAAGAGGGACTACCTGAAAACAGGAAGAATGTCATAAGAATGGAGGAGAAGGTGATCAAATATCACACTGGGCAACCCTAGCCCTGGGGACTGTCACTGGGAAGGTGCATCCCCATAACTGATTTTGAAAGTTAGTGGGGCTCAGCTCCAAGAGCTTTAAAAATCATCAGGACTTATCTCCAGGAGATCGAGAGGGGAAACCAAGTCTCTGCCTTTAAAGACCCAGCAACTGAATAATTCAACCCGAGACAAAGAACAGAAGCAATAATGTGGGAAACACCTGGGGTATACATAAAGGAGATTTGACTAATTTTAGGGTCTGTGCTAAAAGAACAAGGATCTGCAAGAGATTTCTCTGGAAACAAAAGTGCTGGTAGATGACATTTTTTGCTCTTGCCAAGCCTAGATAGTTGGAAGCTTTCAGCAGCCAGTTCTGATACCTTCCATCTACCTTGCTAGCACCTGACACTAAAGTTCCCCTGCAGATCCACCCTCTCCAACCCACCTGCTCCAGCAGACACCCCTTCAAAACAGCTCACACCTGGCGGAGAGCCCGAGCTGGGACCAGCTCTCCTCCAGATGCTACCCAGCAGTAGTCACAGCAGCTCATTGCAAGAAGCCAGGCTGAGGGTGAGCCATACTCACCAGAGGGCAAGACCCTACCAACCAGTGCACATTCACTGGCTTCAACCAGCCTTCACAGCTTTCCAACAGGGAACAATCCCTGCCTGCCAGTGCACTCCCAGCAGTTGCAGCTCAGCCACACAAGAAGGTACATGCAGTCCATACAGGGGATACCCCTGGTGCACTTGGTACTGGTGACCAAAGAGGGTTCAACTACTGGATGCTACAGAATGCCTTCTACATAAGGCTAATTTTTTTTAAGAGGGAATGAGGGTTTTTTTTAAGATTTTATTTATTTATTTGACAGAGAGAGAGAGAGAGAGATCACGCACAGGCAGGCAGGCAGAGAGAGGGGGAAAGCAGGTTCCCTGCTGAGCAGAGAGCCCAATGAAGGACTCAATCCCAGGACCCTGAGATCATGACCTGACCTGAAGGCAGAGGCTTAACCCACTGAGCCACTCAGGTGCCCCACACTAATATTTTTAAGACCAGGAGATGTAACTGGCCTACTTAATAGACAGAAACAAACTGTTTCTGTTAGGGAGTTAGATGAAACAAAGAGACAGAGGACTATTCCTAAATAAAGGAATAATACAAAACCATAGTAAGAGAGCTAAATGAAACAGAGATAAGTGATATGTCTGAAAAGGAGTTAAAAGTAGGGGAACCAGGGTGGCTCAGTGAGTTAAGCATCTGCCTTTGGCTCAGGTCATATCAGGGTCCTGGGATCAAGCCCCACGTCTGGTTCCCTCCTCGGCGGGGAGCCTGCTTCTCCCTCTTCTCTGTTGCTCCCCCTGCTTGTCCTCCCCCCCTTTCTGTCTCTCAAATAAAATAAAATAATAAAAATTTTAAAAACTGGGATAGCAATGCTATCTCAGAAAAAAATACACTTTAAAACAACTGTAACAAGAGAGATAAAGGTAATTACATATGAAAAGATCAATCCAACAAACAGATACAACAACTATAGATATCTATATACCCAACATGGGAGCATATGAATATATAAATCAAATATTAATGAACATAAAGGGAGAAATTATAAAAATAATAGTAGGGGCTTTAACACCCCACTTACATTAAAGGGGATCATCCAGATAGAAAATCAATAAAAAAGTGGCCTTGAACATCACCTTAGGCCAGATGGATTTAACAGATATACACAGAACATTTCATCCAAAAACAGCAGAATGCTCATTCTTTTCAAGTGCACATGGAATGTTCTCCAAAAGAGATCACAACACAGACCTCAATAAAGAAGTCTCAATAAATTAAAAATTAAAATCATATCAAATGTTTATTCTGACCATGACAGTATGAAACTAAAAATCAATTACAAGGAAAAAAACCTGAAAGAAACATAAACAAGTGGAGGCGACATAACATGCTACTAAACAATCAATGGGTCAATGAAGAAATCAAAGAGGAAATTTTAAAATCAGCTGGAGACAAATTAAAAAAAATAAAACACTATCATTTAAAATCTTTGGGATGTAGCAAAAGCAGTTCTAGGAGAAAAGTTTATAGCAATAAAGGCCCACTTCAAGAAATGAGGATAAACTCAATCTAAACTTACACATACAGGAACTAAAAAGGAGTAACAAACAAAGTCCAAATTTAGTAAAAGGAAGGAAATAACAAAGATTAGAGAGGATATAAGGGACATAAATGAGAGGTTAAAAAAATTAGAAACTATCAATGAGACTAAGAGATGATTCTTTGAAAAGAGAAACAAAATGCATAACCTTTAGCCTGACTAATCAAGAAAAAAAGAGAGAGAACTTGAATAAATAAAATCAGAAATAAAAGAAAGTTACATCTAACACCACAGAAATACATTTCAAGGCACAGTAGAGTAAATGAATATCAACAACAGCTTAAGAATAAGCGACAGAAAGACAGAAAGAAAGCACTCAACACAGCCTTGACAGAAACTAACACAGGAAATATAATGGGTGGTACCACGCTTGTTTTTTGTCTTTTCGTTTCTATTTCCCAGCAAATATTTTTTGTTTCCAATTTTTATTTAAATTCCAATTAGTTAATATATGGTGTAAAATTAGTTTCAGGTATAGAGTTTAGCGATTCATCCCTTCCATTCAATGCTCAGTGCTTACCACAAGCTCCCTCCTTAATCTCCATCACCAATTTAACCCATCTACCTCCCCTCCAGTAAACTTTACTTCATTCTGTATAATTAACAGTCTGTTTTCTGCCTCTCTTTTTCCCCTCTATGTTCTTCGTTTCTTAAATTCCACCTATCAGTGAACTCATATATGGTATTTGTCTTTCTCAACTGACTTATTTTGCTTAGCTTCATACTCTCTAGCTCCATCTATATCCTTGCAAATGGCAAGATTTCATTCATTTTTATGGTTGCTCTTGTTGTTAAAACAAACATTAAGCTATCAAACTCATACATATTTACAAACTCCAACCCTCACTTTAGTGCTCTCCATGCAACAAATTCTGTGTAACAGGAAATGCCAAAAGCCAGAGTATTAAGTGGTAACTCACTATGGTAACTAAAATACAATTTATGTATTGTCTTTCTTGGTTTGAAAATACAAAGTAGTCTTTCAAAAAAAATATATTAAGAAGGATTGTTAACAGAATATATTTGTTGGAACAATGCAAAGAAGACATGAAAAAGCTTCCAAGAGTTGCTTCTTTAGTACACTCACACTTCTGGCCATATGGCTGATACTTCCTAAGGTCATGACACAGGCTAACTGAGTAAATTTTCTTCCACAGCCATGGCCACAGCAAAGTCCACCCCTGATGAGCCCCTGATGAGAGGCAAAAGAAGGCATGATCTCCAAGAGTTGCTGACTGAAGTAGGACTGGTTACCCAAGCTGCAGGAACAACTAGATGTGACCTGTGCTCAGGCCTTACAACACCTTGAAGAAAAAGACCTCCAGAACCTCAAATCCCAAGCACAACATTCCTGGGAGGAAAGAGCCCTAGAGAAACTTCTTAAACTGTCACACTCAAATAGTCTTTCAGAGTCACAGGAGTCTCAGTTGGAAAAGAGAAAGAAAATGCAGAAGCAGGCAAAGCAGGCACTGCAGGAGCAAAGAGACTTGCTGTCAGAAGGGAGGCAGCAACAGGATGAAGCAGTGAGGAAAAGAGAGGCAGAGCTGAGGAAGGCAATGGAGAGCCCTGAAGAATACTGGCCATCTCCCCAAAAGTCCCTAAAAGAGGTCATGGAAAACAATGAGAAACAACTCAACCTCGTGGAGGGGATACTGTCTCACAGGCAAAATCTCCCAGATAGAGATCTGGTGAGATGGGCATCTGGAGGGTTGGCCCTGCAGGGAATTTACAAAACCAGAGACCAAAGGGGTCTGATAGAGACGAGAGAGGAACTACTCAGTGTCCCAAATGAGTTCTCACTCTATGGCCCTGAGCAGGGCTCACGGATTGAAACAAAGGAGTTTACATCTTCTCAAGCAGAAGCCATGTTCACCCAGACTATAGAGAAGCTAGGCTTCAGTGCAACTACTGCAGCCAAGGGTGAAGGCTGGGGATTTAGCCTGGAAGCTAGTGTAGATCACAGCAAACATTCAGAATCTAAGAAAACCCAACAATCACATTCTGAGCACTCTTATTTTTGCTCAGCCAAGTTCAGCTATATGCCACTGGCTTCCTGCCGCTTTCCCATTGATCAGCTCCAGTTATCCAAGGCTGCTCTGCAAGAATTGAAATGCATTGAAGACCTTCTGGGTCAGTGTACAGGCCCAGACAGATTCCTCTTACTGAAGTCCAGGACAGAGGCCTTCTTCAATAGGTTTGGTTCTCATGCTAATCAGGGCCCTCTGCACCTGGGAGGAATCTACTGGTGGAAAGCCATTTCAGAGGGTTTCCAAAGTGAGCAACTGGCAGAAGTGAAACAGCAGTCAGCAGAAGCCCTGGATATTTATATCAGGGGCAGCTACAGTGGCTTTGGAATGCAAGTTGCTGCAGGTGTGGACATGACAGACTCTCATTCAAAAATGAACTCTCAGAGCACAAGCTTCCAAAATCTCCAAACACAAATCCAGTTATCTGTGGCCCAGACAGGTGGCCCACCAGAAGCAAATGGCCTTTTCCAGTGGAAAGCTGGCCTAGTTGCCAGTAATCAAACCTGGTGTGTCATTGACCGGGGAATTCAACTGGTGCCCATTTGGGACATCATCAGCTCCAGCCACAGAAGTGATTTTAAGAATCCATTTCAGGTAGCTGACTTCCTGAAAGAATGCTATACTGCTCTGACTGGCCTGACTACCCAGATCCAGAGTGGAGAGGAATTACTCAGTATTGTGAAGGAGGCTAGGGTTTTCCTAGAGGATGTGAAATCCTGGGAGGTATCTAATCCTGAAGAGCAGCTTAAAAAACTGATAAATTTCATGCAAATGTTGAGTCAAAAAACAAAAGGTTATGACACTTGGATTAACATATGCCTCACAGATGGGGACCTACAGAATTTTCTGGTAAACACTGTCAACTTTTGCAAAAGATCTTCCAGTTATAAAACAGAATTTATTAAATCTCAATTGCACAGCCTTTTGGATCCTCACATTTATAGTGTGACAAGCTTTCCTCAGGCTCAATCCGTCATGCAGTGGATCTTCTCATCAGAGCTGAAGAAGAAGCACGTCTACATCTCTGAATTTTCTGAATTAATTAAAATCTTGACAGAAGCCAAAAATGACTTCATGGAAGCAAAGGCCAAATCTGAGACCCCAGAAACAGTGGAAGAAGCACAAAGAAAGGCCACTTATGAGGTCAGCCAGTCTCTACGATGCTTCTTGAATTACCTGCGAGAAACAGAGCGGGCAGACGTACAGCTCTTGCTACTTTCTGTTGCAGTGGGTGCAGGTTATCACATGGTAAAAAATACTTTTCAGTATCTTCTGGGATGTGAGGAGCTGAACTTCCTGCTGCAGGAAATGCAAACTGCCTATGATAAATACCAGAATCTCAAAAATATTTGCAGCTACAGGGCTCAGGCATTCCTGCTGCTCACAGGTCTGACAGCCACTGTTGGAGTTACAGCTCTTTCTCCAAAGGAGAAAACGCAACGCTTGACACTTCTAAGACAGCACATGGGACAATTCTTGTCTAAAGAAGTTGAACATGTCCTCACCAAACCTGGAGCACATCATGATTGGGAAAACCTAGAGAAAGACTTGAGATTGCTCATTGATGGGAATTATGAAGTCACCCTGTCTTCATTGCAAATAGATGATGTGAGAAAATATTTGCAAAGTATCTTCCCTGAAAAGGAACCACCTCATGAACCACATGATAGTGAAAGCAACAAATTGGAGGCCATAGAAAATGAAGCCTTCTTAGAATTACTCCAGAGTCTAGGTTTGGAACACTACTACCCAAAAAGGATGAGCAGAGCTACCTTCCACCTGATCCACAAGACTTCTGTGTATAACACCCAGCCCAGGTCTGAGCAGGAGCTTCCCTTCTACTTCCTGCAGAAGCTATTAATGCTGGATTATGGGCTGAGATACCTGGTCTTCAAAGACGATGGAAACACAGAGAAGCAAGTCCATCCAAGTGCCTCAAATCAAAAAAATGAGGCTTTTGATCCATATGAGGACATATTTGAAGAGAGTGATAGTCCCGCTAACCCTTCAGCCACTCATCCCAGGTCCCACGTTCACCCTATGGATATTCAGATGGCAGTTCTTCACTGTACAGATGATTATGCCAGACAGTATATTCTGTCCAAACTTGCCATTTGTCAGTTTGCCCTCCCACTGCTTGTACCTAATCCCTGCAATTCTCAGATTGAATTCTCTCTCTGGTCTCTCAGCCAAATTAGGAGAAGCTGGCGGCAAGCAAGGAAATCATCAAAAGAGAAGAACAATTACAACAATCAGCAGATGTGTCGTGTCCCTACTCCCATTGTGTCCTTTATTAGAGTTGGAAAGGGCTTCTCTGCCTCCAAATCTCAGATCATGAACTGTCTACTCAGTAAACGTAAATATGATATATTTTTTCATCGGCATTGCAGGGGGAGCAGCAAAGACTGTCTCTTGATGGAGGGTGTAGTAGAAATCTGCTGGTATTGTCCTGGGGGGGAAGATGAGGACAGCTTTGACAAATGTTTGACCTTCACCAATCTTCATGGAGATGCCAAGGACCATGAGAAGCAGCTTGCCTTCCTGCAGGAGATCTCTTCCGTCATTGTGGTGCTCATGGCAACTTCTGATGACAATACAGAAAACCGAAAACTTGTCCGTGGCCTGTGTCAGCTACCAAAACCTTTGATCTTTTTGCTTGATAACAAAGAAAAAACCATGGCCAGTACTTCTGGCCAAAGAGTGAGAATTGGCATCAGGAATCGAAATGAGGCAGAATTAACAGAGGAGCTCAAAACTACAATCAGAGATTTGTTAGAGCTCTCTCGCACTGCTTTTAGCTTAGAGGATTGTGCCCAGATTGCACGCAGGCAAGGATTTCTTATTGATGAAGACCAGAGTGACTGCAAGGAAGCCAAAGAGGAGGCAGAGATTCTCATGGCCCTACTAGGAGACATGCCAATATCTCAGATGAAGAAAAAATTACTACCCCTTCAGGGACGACTGTGGCATCATTGGTGTAAGAAGGACAAAGAACTCTATCATCTGAGGGAAAAGGGAAATCAGAGTATTGAACAACACAAGAGTGAAATCGAGGCAGAGAAACAAAGAATACGAAGTCAACAATTGAACAAAGCCTTTCCTCCCAATGAGTTCATGCATTCTGTCCTTGAAATTATCCAAAAACGTTCAGGAATTCATAACAACCTCTACTTCTTACAGTGGCTGAGTGTGTTTTTGGAAAACCTGACTGCAGATCACTTGGAAAAACTGAATTAAAAGAAAAAGGCTTTGTGCTCCCAGGTACAAAGAGGAAAACAAAAGGTACCAGAGAATGCCTCCCTAAAACAGTGGCAAAATAATATAGAAGCTATTTCTGCAGAGATTAGTGACTGCACCTTGGGAATTGAGCAGATTCTCAGAGAAATAGGCCAGATGTATGAAGCTCTGGAAGAAATTTTTTCCACCAAAGATACACTTTTTCTCTCCCTTCCCCAGATTGTTGCAGATCTAATGATATCTGGTGTTCCTATTGAGCTGATGGATGGGGATGCTTCATATGTGCCCCTAAAGTGGGTAGCAGCTATTTTCGACAAGGTCTCTGAGAAACTTGGAGACAAACGGCTGTTTGTTCTCTCTGTCCTTGGCCTGCAGAGCTCAGGGAAGTCCACCCTGCTGAATGCCCTTTTCGGGCTACAGTTCGCTGTCAGTGCTGGGAGGTGTACCCGGGGAGCCTACATGCAGCTCGTGAAGGTGGAGGAGACATTCGCAGAGGAACTCGGCTTTGACTTTGTGCTTGTTGTGGACACAGAAGGACTTCGGGCCCCAGAACTCAGCAACAAATCCCAGAAGCATGACAATGAGTTGGCAACCTTTGTTATTGGCCTTGGAAACTTGACTCTGATCAATATTTTTGGGGAAAATCCATCAGAAATGCAAGATATTCTACAAATAGTTGTCCAAGCCTTTCTGAGGATGAAACAAGTAAAAATCTTCCCAAGTTGCCTTTTTATCCATCAGAATGTGGAAGAAGTTATGGCTAAAGAACAAAATATGGAAGGACGAAGGCAGCTGGAACAGAGACTAGATGAAATGGCAGCAACAGCAGCTGAACAGGAACAGTGCTCAGAGGTAACCTGCTTTAGTGATGTCATTAAGTTTGATGTCAATACTCACGTCTACTACTTTGCTCACCTCTGGGATGGCAATCCTCCAACGGCCCCTCCCAATCCTCGCTATAGCCGCAATGTTCAGGAACTGAAAAGCAGAATTCTTCTGACAGCCAAACAAGAATGTAGGGGAGGCATCATGAAGATATCAGATATAAAATTCCGAGTTCAAGATTTGTGGAGAGCCCTGGTGTGTGAGAACTTCATTTTCAGTTTCAGGAACACACAAGAAGTCATGGCCATGAGCAAACTGGAAACCATGTATAACTCCTGGACCTGGGAGCTGAGGAGTCATGTGCTGGGCTTGCAGAACCAGCAGATCAACCAGATTCAGAATGGACTAATCCAGACATTCAGAAAAAGCACACTTGAGGCTCCAGTGACAGAAAAATATGAAGGCATCAAGCAAGAACTTGAAAAATATTTTAATGAAGATCCAGATAGTGAAATACTGATTCAGTGGAAAGCAAATTTTGAGAATAAGCTACTACAGCTTAAAGAGGCACTTATTTCAGACACCCAAAAGAAAGCTAATGAACTTATTAGTTTTAAGAAAAGTCAAGAAAAATTAGATAAGAAAAAGTCATGCTATGAAAAGGAATTATTAGAAAAAAGCCGAAACTTGGCTTTAACTATAAAAGGCACAGAACTGAGTGAGGAACAACTACATGAGAAGTTCAATCAGCTTTGGGAAACATGGGTCTATGAGGTGTCCTCAACTCTCCCTCCAGTCACAGAGCCTGACATTGATGTGGATTCTGAAAACATCCTTTTGGAGTATTTCAAAAAGCAGACAAATATTTTTGTGGACAAAGTAAAGAGAAAACCCAGAGAAGAGTTTCAAGTCAAATATGATGAACATGTCCAAATGAACAAGAAATTTCGCATAATTAAAAAGCAATTAGAGGACTATGATCAAACGTCTATAGAAAGGACTACCAACCGCATTGTTTCAAGATTTACTGAAATTATAGAAAACATTCAGAAGCAAGGGCGTGATTACGATCCAAGTTATTTCCACGAAATCCTGAGAATAATAGATGGGGAAGTGAAATCTGCACCTACTGAGGGAAAATATACATTTACAAGTAAATATGAAATTGACTTATCTTTGTGTTTATTCCAAAAAGCATCAGAAAATTTTAGGGAGATGCACAGGGCATTCAAGAATGCACATGATCCGGTAAACTACCTGGAAAGCAAGAAAGAGGATTTCTTCATGAGTTTTAAAATCTCGTGTCAAGGAGCAACCTCAGTCAAAACATTTGTTGATTTTCTGTGGCAGAAACTCACTCCTGCTGTCTCCAACACCATATGGGAAAAAACGGCCCCCAGAATTGCTGGGGACATACGATCTACTTGCCCCGCTTTCAACGGAAACAGGGCTAACCTGGAGAAACATATTCTCATCTCTCTGGCTGAAGAAGAAATTTTTGATAACTACTGGAGTTACCTTCACGATTCAGAATCATTTTTTAGGAATTACATTAAAAAGCATATTGAAACATATTGTTCAGACCAGGGAAGTGAAAAAATAAGGACTTTCTTAAAAATAAGTTTAGATGATATCAAGAATGCCATCCTCTCAGCTATTCATGAACCCATAATAAGAGCTGAAGATAGAAGCAGCACTGTGTCTGAGTGGTTGGATGTGTTCTGTGATCAACTGGGGAGTAATCTGATCTTCCCACGAAAAGATCTGATAAGCATTGAACACCAGGAGATAAAAGATATTGAGTTTCTCAAAGAAGCTATGAGTGAAGCTTTGGATCCCACAATGAAGAGAGTAGAACAGAACTGTTTGTTTTGGTACAAGAAATGGTTCCGCGAATTGAGAAAATGCTCTCTGAACATCTCTGTGGCTGCTGGAAACAGTGTCCCTTTTGTAGAGCAATTTGTACAAACACAATCCCTACACATGAAGGAGACCACCGTGTTCCCTTCCACCGTCCTCTCGCTGTCGGTGGATGGCATTTTTATAAAACAGACGACTTTGTTATTGATCACTGTACTAATTTGGTAGCAAGCAATGTTTTCTTAGTTTTGAGCGATGACCGAGAAATCCCATATAAGAACTATCGAGAGGCAGGAGGAGACTATGCCACGTGGAGCATCACCCCAGACTCATCCTCCCAGCCATACTGGAAATGGTTTGTCTCTCACTTCAGATCAAACCTAGAAGCAAAATATCAGAGAAAATTTAAAAACAAATGTAAAATCCCTGATGCATGGGCCCAAATCAAAAAGCAGGATGTACTTGATTACTTGAAAAAACAGTAAAATCCAATGACCACAAAAGAGCCCCAGTATCTGAACAAAAGAGTCCCTATTTGGGAACCTGGACAATCCTAAAATACCTTCTCCTCACAAAAGGAACCCTCATTATTTCCTTTTTACGAATGAAAAATCTAAAAATAAGTCAACTAACATTTCAAGAGTTGAAGATTCCCTGTGAAAAGACTTCATTCTTCTTTGCCTCAATTCATTCTGGTTTAAAAACCACTTACTAAAATATATGAACACATGATAAAATCAAATAAAATCCATTTAAAGTATCCACAGCAAATTTTAAACTATTATTCAGAATGTTTATATTTTGAAATATAGACTGTTATGTAAAGTCTCAGATAAAGTCATTTTCATAGAAGGAAATCAGAACCATTGCAGACTGCTACAAATTACTATAGAATAAATATCTGGGTATTTCAACCAATATACAGTTCTTGACTGTAAGCTACCAATAACCTTTTTTTTTTTTTAATCCTCTGAAATCCTCACAAAAAAATTAAAAAAAGAATTGTGAATAAAAAGTTACTAATCCTCAAATGGAAAAATGTTAGTGGAAAGTTTATGATCCCTGAGCATAGCAATACTTAGGCATATTCTCTTCTGGATAGGAATAAAATAGGGACTTCACCGTAATAAAGTCTGCATCAATTCAAGAAATGTTATCAAGCAAATAGGGAAAAGAGAAATTAAATAACTGTTTTTCTCATTTAATCATTAGCCTCCTCTTCTCTGGCATCTTGCCAATGCATGTGTTTAAAAAGAAAGAAAAGAGAAAAGAGGAGAACAGAAAAGTAAAGGTTCACAAGACCTTAGATATTCACAGCTCAGTGCTATATACAAGTCTGAGAAAGACTGGCTTTTGGAACATGACTTATGACCAGTAAAAGGAGCCATTTTAATCAAAGCTGTGGACAAGGTCAAATCTGATTAACCCTTTGATGATTAAAAAAAAAAACAAAAAACTATTCCTTCAAGAATAAAATATAAAAAAGTATACAGCTTTTAGGTTCTGATATTTTAATAAGGAAAAATCTTAATATATTCAAATGTAAGGAAATACTTATCTCCAGATCAGACATCTTTGTAACTTCTCACATTATTTAAGGCATAGAGTCATGAACAGAATAAAAATGAAAATGAAGAGCACTCTGAAGCCAACCAAGGACCAGAGCGGGGAAAGAAAGTGCCATTCTGCAAACCTACACCTTCTAAAAAATGGTTTACACGATGTTCTCAAAGGTGATGATCTGAAGGAATCCTGATATAAAGAAGAAAATTTATGTCTGACATACGGGTGTCCGTTGGCTTGCATTTACAGACACAGTCTATCCTTCCATAGCCAGTGAAATCAAACAGTACACGGAACTACAGTAAGGATTAGAATCTTCAGAGTTAGGAGAGAGGAGTAATGACTCTATTGTCTTTGTTTCTCCAAAGGGTTTCAAGAATACTCTCAGTTTCAGGTAAAATGACCTAAGTCTCCAGAAGAAATCCAGGAACAGGAAAATTTAAAGGAAACAGATATTCTTGAACAGTACAGTTTTCCTTTTATTCTCTGTAAGAGTTGGAAAGACCTCGGGGTACCTCAGTGGCTCATTTGGTTGGGCGTCATCCTTTGGCTTTGGTTCAGATCCCAGGGTCCTGACAAGGAGCCCTGTGTGCTCCCTGCTCAGCGGGGTGTCTTCTTCTCCCTCTCCCTCTCCCCTCCCCATGCTCATGCTTTTACTCACTATCTCTCAAATAAATAAAATCTTAATCTCAAAAAAAAAAAAAAAAGAGTTGGAAGGACCTGCTAATATAAAGTTGAAATAGTGATGGAAACAGAACCCCTGCATGGTACCTGTCTCTCTCAAAAACTGCAATGTGCAACTAACACTTATTGAATGCTTTTGTATTTGTTTAATGAATCCAAAATGGCCTTTTTCTAAATAATATATTTCCTCTATTAACTTTGATTTTCAAGCCAAAATTGTTGTGTATAAATAAAAAAGACAAATTCCGCAGGCACTAAAGCAGTGTGATTATTCAATGAGATTCAGAGACTGTGCTCAAGAGACGCCAAATAAACTGGCAAGAAGTAAATCGGGGTAGAGAAAAGATGACCGTGTAGGAATGAGGTTTTCTGTGATAGTAGTAGAGACAGTAAAGGTGGAGTCAGGATTAAAGGGATTACCATGAGAGACTATGGACTCTGAAAAACAATCTGAGGGTTTTGAAGGGGCAGGGGGTGGAAGGTTGGGGGATCCAGGTGGTGGGTATTGGAGAGGGCACGGATTGCATGGAGCACTGGGTGTGGTGCAAAAACAATGAATACTGTTACGCTGAAAAAATAAAAAATTTAAAAAAAAAAAGAAAACAAAGAGAACAAAGGGGAAAAAAAGAGATAAACCAAAAAACCAGACTCTTAACCATAGAGAACATAACAGATGATTACCAGAAGGGAGGTTTGTGAGGGGATGGGTGACATAGGTGAAGGGGATTGAAAGTACACTTATTTTGATGAGTACTGAGTAATATTTGGGGTTGTTGAATCACTATATTGTACACCTGAAATTAATGTAACACTGTATGTTAACTGCACTAGAATTAAATATGGTAAATCAATTGACAAAAAAAAGAAATTACAGTGTCAGCAAGTTGGGGTCACAGAGGGGGGAGATATCAGAAACTATGGAATAGGGAGGAAGAGTCAGTAGGGATGACAAACACAGGATCATCAAGAGTAGAAGACCCTGGACCCAGGTGTAGGTCCCTGGATTAGAAGTGGCCGGAGTTCTAAGGTCAGTAGAGGTAAAATTCACATGGTCAGTGCATTAAGTCTCTCAGAGTCACTGAAAGTGGGAACATGGAAACACAGGAATTCGAGGTCATCACATCACTTGATTTAAGGGACTTCCAGAGTATGTTAAGCAAGACAGCCCAAGTGTAATGGGAAAAAAGGAGTCACAAGGCCTATAGTAATGGGCCTGGGAGAGTGACAGATTCTCTCTTTTTTTTTTTTAAGATTTTATTTGCCAGAGAGAGAGCACAAGCAGGGGAAGCAGCAGGGAGAGAGAGAAGCAGGTTTCCCGCTGAGCAAGGGGCCTGACATAGGACTAGATCCCAGGACCCTGGGACCACGACCCAAGTCAAAGGCAGACGCTTAATCAACTGAGCCACCTAGGCATCCTGAGAGTGATGGATTCTAAGACAAGATCGAAACACATGAATAAGATGTGAGCTATATTTTTTTAAAGAATTTTATTTATTTTTTAACAGAGAGAGAGATAGCCAGAGAGGTAACACAAGTATGGGGGGTGGGAGAGGGAGAAGCAGGCTTCCCACGGAGCAGGGAGCCCAATGTGGGGCTCGATCTCTGGACTCTGGGATCATGACCTGAGCTGAAATCGGGAGTTGGATGCTCCACTGACTGAGCCACCCAGACACCCTAAGGGAAAGGTAACTTAAGGTGAGGGAATAAATTAGTAGGCTTAAGTGAAGTTTTGAGAGTTAAGGAGTGCCAGCTTGTACGTGTACTTAAGAACACCATCTCAGAGGTCAGATTTCTTGTCTCACACCATTGCCTAGCTATATGACTGTGAATGAGTTCCTCAACCTGTCCCTGCTTTATTTTCTTCATCTGTAACATGGTGCCAGCTCACAGAGCAACGAGGATTACCTCAGATAACACATATGCCTTGCACAGAGTACATGCTCCAATAATGGAAGATGGTAGTGGTAGCAGCAGCAGCAGCAACAAAAGTCATGTTAATAGAATTGCAGTAATTATGAACATGATTATCATTGCTATTACATTGAAATGTAGTTACACCTGCACCCTGTTCTCAACTGTAAGTTCCTGAAGAAGACAGTCCATGTCTTGCTCATTTCCATATATCCAGTATCTAGAATGGTATTTACCCCAGTAGAGGTGATGATAATGCCTCTTAAATGCAATGGAGAAGTTTACCAGATATGGCAGGTGAAGGTGATGACAGGTGGAAGGAAAAGAAAGAAAGATGGTTCCATTATTTCAAACAGTGATAATGCAGTTAAATTAACTAAATAAAGGTCACCAATGGCCTCAATTTGGCTAAATCCATTTTTTTTTTACTCTCAAACTTCTTCTTTAGCTTACCAACAAAATCGTATCACTCTCTCAACCTGAAACACTCTGTGCACTTGGATTTGAGAATACTGCACTCTTGCTTTTCCTACTCTGCTCACTCGATTTTACTGGTTCCTTCACTACCATTAAAATGCGCAATGCCAGCACACCCCAAGGGCTCAATCTTTGGTCTTCCTTCTATATCTAGACTCTCTCTCCCTCTTAATGTGTCACCTGTCCCCAAGGCATTAAATACCATATATACATTGAAAACTCCTAATATCTATGTCTAACCTACACCTCTCTCCAAATGTCAAACTGCTGCATACTCAACAGTTGCCCTTGGAGGTCTTAAAGACATCTCAAGCTTAACATGCTCAAAACCGGGTTCTCACTACCCCCTCACTCAAAACCTGCTCTGCCCACAGCCTTTCTCATCTCATTTAAAGACAAATCTATAGTGTCAATCCCCTAGGCCAGAAAATACTCTAAATCATGCATAATTCCTCTCACCTCTCTCATTCATTGGTAAATCCTGTGGAATCTACTTTTAAAATATACTCAGACTAATCAGTTACCACCACACCGCAGGAAGGCACTGAGGCTCAAAAGCCTCCTAACTGACGGCCACATATGTAGCCTATTCTCGCAAAGGCAATCAGAAAGCTTTCTTAAAAATTTACACTAGATTGTTTCAATCTTTTGCTCAAAACCCTGAAATAGCTCCATTCCTCATTCAGTGTGAAAGTTGCAAAGTCATCAAGAGTCATCAAAGTCACAAAGTCACAAGCCTATGTGATGTGTCCCCTAGTTACCATTCTGATCTACTCTCCTACTTCTATCCCCCTTGGTCACTCATTTCAACAGTACCATTTACTGTTCCTCAAACATTCATTGTTGTCCCTACCTCAGGACCTTGGCTGTAGCTCTTACCACTACCTGGGGGAATATTCTTCCCCCAGATATCCCTTATACTCCCAAATACTTCTAAGTCTTTCTTGATACTTCACTTTATGAATGAGACCTTTCCCAGACCACCTACTTTATAACGCAGTCTACACCCCTACTCACCTCTGCTGTCCAGAGGTGACTTCTTGTTTGCTTCTAAACTTACCCTTTTCTGGATTCTATCATATACTCATTTACTATTTTATTGTTTGTTGTCTAGAATATAAATTCCATAAGAGCAAGACATCTCTTTTGCTCACTGTGCTATCCCTGACATCTCACACACCATATACCTAGATTAGTATAGGTACACAGTAAATATTGCTGAATCAATAAATGAGTGAACATCTATTTATAAATGAGCAGGTTTTGGTGTGTGTGTGTGTGTGTGTGTGTGTGTGTGAAATTAGATTACTCTTTGGGGCTCCCTGCTTTCAA